AGCGCGGGCGCTGGGCGCGGCGCCGGCGTAGAGCGCGCCGCCGAGCGTGCTTCAGGTATGGGCGGGTCGGGGAACCCCAGGCGGGCCGGGCGGCTGGGGCTCCCGGGGCCTGGATGCCGGGGGGCGGGGTCCCGGGACCGGCTCTCGGGACCGGGCTTGTCTGCGCCCTCTGGCGGCTGCAAGGGACGGTGCAGGAGCCCCCGTGCCGCCTCCTTGCTCAGCCAGGAAAGATCAAGCTATGTACATCATTTGTTCCTTCTTTCATTTATTCTCATCCCTGCGTCCATTCGTTCATTTATTCACTCTATTCAACAAATATTCATTTGACACCATGACATCTGGGCTGTTAGCCCCTCCCTCTCTCTTTCTCTCTCATATCAGACTCCTCAGGCCAGAGTGCATCCATTGGATCCTCTCTCCCTCAGGTTATTATCAGGCTCCCCCTCCCCAGCATCCCTCCTCATGGGTTCCTTGGCGACCTGTGCAGAGGGAGACGGCGGCTGCGCCCTTCAGTCCTCTCAGCTTTCTGTAGCTATTGACATAACAAAATCTCAATAAAATGTCTGATCCCTAAATATATATACATTACCAGGCACTGTTCAAAACAGACAGCCCAGTCCTCATGGAGCTGACATTCCTGTGGTGGAGACACACAGTAAACATGAGAAATAAGTACAGTATAGGGGCCGGCCCCGTGGCTTAGCAGTTAAGTGCGCGCGCTCCGCTACTGGCGGCTCGGGTTCCAATGCCCCGCGCGCACCGTCGCACCGCTTCTCCGGCCATGCTGAGGCCGCTCCCACATAGAGCAACTAGAAGGATGTGCAACTATGACATACAACTATCTAGTGGGGCTTTGGGCAAAAAAAGGAGGAGAATTGGCAATAGATGTTACCTCAGGGCCAGTCTTCCTCAGCAAAAACAGGAGGATTAGCATGGATGTTAGCTCAGGGCTGATCTTCCTCACAAAAAAAAAAAAAAAAAGAAGCCCTCTCCACTGATGAGGGTCTTCTATAAAAAAAAAAAGAAATAAGTACAGTATATTATACAGTTTATTAGAATATGATAAGTTCTATGGAGAAATATGAAGCAGAAAAGGAGAAGTGGAGTGAGGGTGGGTTGCAGTTTTATTGCGGGGGACCAGAAAAGTCCCTTACTTCCCAAGTCTTCCCACTTCTAATTATAAGCAGCAAGAATGGTACTTTATTATTTGTGTGTGTGTGAGGAAGATCCGCCCTGAGCTAACATCCCATGTCAATCTTCCTCTTTTTTTTTTTTCCTGAGGAAAATTGGCCATGGGCTAATATCCGTGCCCATCTTCCTCCACTTTATATGGGACGCTGCCACAGCATGGCTTGACAAGTGGTGCGTTGGTGTGCACCCAGCATCCGAACCTGCGAACCCCAGACCGCCAAAGTAGAGCACACACTTAACAGCTGCGCCACTGGGCTGGCCCCAAGAAGGGTACTTTAAAACCTAAATTTGGCCGTGTCCCTCCCCTGCTTAAAACTATCCGTGATTAGCCAGTGGTGTCTTAGATATGACACCAAAAGCACAAGCAACAAAAGAAAAAATAGATAAATTGGACACCATCAAAATTAAAAACTTTTGTGTTTCAAAGGACATCATCAAGAAAGTGAAGAGACAACCACAGAATGGGAGGAAAAAACTGCAAATCGTATATCAGATAAGGTGCTTATATCTAAAATAAATAAAGAAGTCGTGCAACTCAAAAATAATAAGACAAATAACCCAATTAAAAAATGAACACAGGCTCTGAATAGACAGTTCCCTAAAAAAGATATACAAAAACCAATGAGGACATGAAAAGATGCTCAACATATTAGTTACCGGGAAAATGAAATCAAAACCACAGTGAGATTCCACTTCGCACCCAGTAGGATGGCTATAATCTTTTAAAAATAGAAAACAGCAAGTGTTGGCAAGGATGTGGAGAAATCAGAACTCTCACACATTGCTGGTGGGAGTGTAAAACGGTGCAGCCACTTTGGAAAACAGTCTGGCAGTTCCTCAAAAGGGTAAACTTAGAGTTACCATGTGACCCAGCAATTCCACTCCTAGGGATATGCCAGAGAATTGAAAACATGTTCACATGAAAATTTGGACATGAATGTTCATAGTAGCATTGCTCATGATAGCTAAAAGGTGAAAACAACCCAGCCCATCAACCAATGAATGGATAAATAAAATGTGGTGTATTCATACAATGCAGTGTTATTTGACAATCAAAAGAAACTAAGTACTTATATCTGCTACAACATGGTTGAGAAAACAAAACAAGGGCAAAAAAGCAAAAACAAACAAACAAAAGAACATGGATGAACCTTGAAAACATGCTAAGTGAGAGAAGTCAGACACAAAAGGCCACATGTGGTATTATTCTATCTGTATGAAATGTTCAGAATGGGCAAATTGAAAGATGGAAAATAGATTTTCATTCTCTCTTGCCTGGGGCTGAGAGAACTGGGGGGAATGGGAAGTGACTGGGGATGGGGTTTCTTTTGAGGATGATGAAATGTTCTAAAATTAATTGTGGTGATAGTTGCACAACTCTATGAGTATATTAAAAACCACTGAACTGTACACTTTAAAAGGGTGAATTGTATGGTGTGTGAGTTATACCTCAATAAAGCTGTTATATTAACAACAAAAAACAAAACAACTGTCCGTTGCTCCTCGTTGCCCAGAGGCTGAAAGCCAAGCTCCTGAGTTGACGATTGAAGCTCTGCCAGGCACGGCCCCCATGTCGGCCCCTTCGCTCTAGCAGTTCCCTCCTCAGGAGAGCTCGTCCCTAGGAGGAGATCAGCAGGGCTCGCTCCTTCGGCTCCCTCACATGCGCCTGCGCAGTGAGGGCTTCGCCGCCCATCGCGCTTCCTACCATAACTCCTGCGCCCCTGACCTGGCTCTGTGTTTTATCCATAACACTCACTAACTGTTAACATTGTATGTAGTTTATTCATTTTATTTATTGTCTGTTTTCCGACTAGTCGTCTGCCTTGGGTACAGGCAAAAAGGAGTGCACCGTCTGGAGAGAATTTAAAAATGATAAAACTGACCAAAAGCCTGGGGCTGGCCCAGTGGCGTAGTGGTTAAGTTCAGTGTGCTCTGCTTCCGCGGCCCCAGTTCTTGGGTTCAGATCCTGGGTGCGGATCTACACCACTCATCAAGCCATGCCGTGGTGGCATCCCACATACAAAATAGGCAGATAGGCACAGATGTTAGCTCAGGTCACTCTACCTCAAGCAAAAAGAGGAAGATTGGCAACAGGTGTTAGTTCAGGGCCAATCTTCCTCACCAAAAAAAACTAACCAAAAGTTGGTCAAGTTTTTATCATACCATGAACTGACAATTCGATACAGTATCAGTGATAAAATAATCTTCCCACCCCAGGAAAGTCTTTCGTTAGTCTTATAATTGTTGCTTACTAAAAATCGATGCAATTACTGTTGAGTTTTAATAATATGTATGTAAGCTTCTAATTAGATATTTTATTACTCTATCCTTTAGTAAACATTGGCTTTGTATTAGTTTTCTAGTGCTGTATAATAAATTACCACAAACTCAGTGGCTTAAAACAACACACATTTATTATCTCATAGTTTCAGTGGATCCAGTCCAATGATGGCCTAGCAGGCCCCCTGCTCCAGGGTCTCACCAGGCTGCAATCCACGTGTCAGCCAGGGCTGCCGTCTCATCAGAGGCTCACCCGGGGCAGGATCTGCATCCAACTGCGTGAGGCTGTAGGGAGCAGTCTTCATTCTCTTGCTGGCCATCAGTGGGGGCTGCTCTCAGCTCCTAGAGGCCACCTACAGGTCCCTGCCGTGTGCCCGTCTCCATAGGTCCTCTCACAATGTGGCAGCTTATTTCTTTCAAAGCCAACAATGGCAAGTCTCTCTCTCCAGTCCACTAAAATGGAGTCTTATATAATGTAATCACAAACCTCCTTTGCCATATTCTGTTGGTTAGAAGCAAGTCCCAGGTCTCGCTCACACTTGAGGGGTGGGGATTATACAGGCCATGAACATGGGGCTGCCCAACATCTGTTTGCCACAATATTCTACAGAGAAGTCAACAGAACTGCTAGGTACACAGTTGACCTCTGACATATGAAGACTCAGCTATATGTGTTCATTTTGAAAATAAGTTCATAACAATTTGGAATCATTTGGGTTTGTATCAGGCAAAGTTTGAGTCTTCAGTCTCTGTGACTCTACATATTCTTGTGTTTAAATCATACATTAGAAGTTAAAATGATAGTGTTACCCAACCTGGTTCGTCTTGCCCACCACACGATTATGCCAATCTCTGAGATGATGAGTTTGCAAAGAGAAAGGAGTTAATCACAAGGCAGCCAAGTGAGGAGGCAGGAGAATCAATCTCAGATTTGCCTCCCCGAAAATGGGGACTCAGGGATACTTACGGAGTAGGGGGCAAGGTGGTCTGAAATGTGGAGATAGATGATTGGAGGTGAGGAGAGGTGAGGTAATTCATGATCTGCACAAGTGTAGTCAGGCTTCATACCTCTTCACAGGACGCATGTTCACAAAACAGCAGTGTTCCCATGATCTGAGGGTGGAGTTTTTAGCTTCTTAAAGTCAAAGGGTCATTGATCGGTCATCTGAGCAGGTCCAGTAGAGGAATTGGTGGTCTCAACCGGCCTGAACTGGACAAGGAGGGGACTCTCAGTTCCTGAAAAACTTGAGCACCCCACCCGTTACCATGGTGACCCATGAGTCAGAGATGTTATCTGTGGGGGTGGGCTTTAGTAATGCCTTATCTAACTACTTTTGCAAATAGACAACTAATTAAATATAGTTAAAGCAAGTTGGTCCCCGGTTTCAATAGCACAATGATCATCAAGATGAAGAAACTATTCTGTCACTCTACATATTCTTTTGGAGTTTTTTTTTTTTTTTTTATAATTTTATTTATTTATTTATTTTCCCCCAAAGCCCCAGTAGATAGTTGTATGTCATAGCTACACCTCCTTCTAGTTGCTGTATGTGGGACGCGGCGTCAGCATGGCCGGAAAAGCGGTGCGTCGGTGCGCGCCCGGGATCCGAACCCGGGCCGCCAGCAGCGGAGTGCACTCACTTAACCGCTAAGCCATGGGGCCGGCCCTCTTTTGGAGTTTTGTGTTTAAAAGTTACAACAGCGAATCAGGGTATGAACTGTGAGGTGTAATTTTTTTTTTTTTTTTTTTCTGCTGAGGAAGATTCCCCTTGAGCTAACATCCATGCCAATCTTCCTCTATTTTTTAGTATGTGGGCCGCCAACACAGCATGGCCGCTAACACAGCGGTATAGGTCCTGGGAACAGAACCTGGGCCACTGAAATGGAGCATGCTGAACTTAACCACTAGACCACCAGGGCTGGCCCTAAGGTGTAATACTTTTATTTGGTAAGTGCAAATTTTCATTCATACATAAAATATTCCATTGAATTTGAGTAAATCTTTAAAATGGAAATTTATTTATTTTCAATAATTTCAAAACAAAAGAACAAATAATGATTCTTACACGAGTATTATTGAAGATAATTTTCTGGTAGATAGGAGGTATAAAAAATTATCCACTCCAGGTGTCAAATAAGCTAGTTCCACCACTGTTCCCAGCATTAGAAAGTGAGTTCCAACAGGGCGGGAATTCTGCTTTGTTCACAGCTGTGTCTTCTCCAGCATTTACAACAGGACCTGGCTCTAGTGGGTGCTCAGTGAATGTGCTGAACGAATGGATGGATGCATGAATGAATGAGTGAACAGGCCTGTGCCTCTTCTCCAGGCTCACCTCTCACCACAGTCCTTGCTGGCTTCCAGCTCAAGCCTTGGAACCTGGTGGGGCTGGGGGATTCAGGTGCTGGAGAGACCTTTGGCTTCACATTCAGACTCCTGACCTTGAGTCAGGAGATAAAAGATAAAAGAGGATGGCTGGCATAAAACAATTGTTTAAGGTAAACACCACTGTGATAAGCGTGAAGGCTCTTCACTTATTATTATGCCAGGAGGGAGGCTGAAGAGTGGGAGTGGCCCTGGTTCTGTAACACACTGGTGTCTTTCCTGCCTCAGGACTTTTGCATTTGCTGTTCCTGATGCTTGGAATGTTTGTCTGTCAGCCCTTATCCTTCAGGGTTCATGATCAAAGGCCCCTCCCCATGGAACCCCTCCTCCACCACCCAGTTCATATGGTCTCCTCTGTTATTTTCCATCCCAGCCCCCAATTCATTTCCCTCCTAGCACTGTTAGGTGTTTTCAATAATGCATTTATTATAATTATCCTGTTGCCTATCCTCTACTCCTATGCCTGCTCCACTCCAACCCCCTTTTGAAACTCAGCTCATATACCCCTCTTCCAGGAAACCCTCCCTGGCCCCTATACTGGGTCAGGTGCCTTCTCTGGGCCTCCTTCCTTTCAGGCCTGATTATTCTGCCTCAGCTTGCCCATCACAGCCCTAACTCCTATCCCTGCCTGGTGAAGTCTTTCCTTCATCTCAGGACCGGTTACCGTGGAGGTAGGGCCTGGGGTTGTTGTTCTTTCATGGGTGTATCACCTCCTCTGGAAGCCCTCCGTGGTCCTCTCTCAGGCTGAATGGGGAACTTGTCTGGGCTCCCGTCATGCCCTGGTCTTCCACCACCCCAGCTCCTGATCACTCAGGCCGTGCTTCCCCCGTCACATCCCTAATCACTCTGCCCTATGCTTCCGTCATCGCTACTCTGGGCTGTTCCTGTTTCGTGACGCAGGGACCAGTCTGGCGTGGTCACGGCTGGGTTTCCAGCAACGCACCGAGTAGGTGCTCAGTGAACGTTGAATTTAGGAAGGAATAAATCCCCTACCCTCAAAGGAAGGCTGAAGCGAGGCGGGCGAAAAACCCCACAGGTTTCCAGGGAGAGCGTGTCTGCACTCTCTCCTCCCACCCCGAGGCCCAGTACAAGAGCGCAGGGACTCGGACGTCGTCAACAAGGGGCGAGGGTTGCAGCACCCCCAGTGCTCAGGGCCGTGCGCCCCCTCCCGGGCTCGGTCCTATCGGGGGCGGAGCCAGCGCAAGCCCCGCCCCTCCCCCAGCGCCGGGGGCGGGCCCAGGTGCGCCGAGGGCGGAGGACGGCCGCCCAGGTGCCTGCTCCGCGCGCCTGCGCTCTGCCGCGCCCCGCCTCGCCAGGTGCGCCCCGCCCCTCCCTGGCAGGCCACCTTAGGTAGCTGCTCCGAGGCGGCCGCCATTGGCACTAGCGCCCACCGAGCGTGTGGAGGTGTGGCGGGGCCTGAACAGTGGGACAGTCGCTGAGTGTCGCAGGGGGCGACCGAGGAGCGGACGGAGGCATCGTGGGCGTGGGAGGCCGACTGTCCGCACACCGAAGTCCCGGGACAGGCGCTTTGCGGCGACTTCGGCGTGAGCGCCTGCGTGGCACCTCGCAGACCCTCCCGGAGCGCCCGCACCCGAGCACGAGGCGCTCCAGTGCGCGTGCGCGGCCGGGGTCTTCCCGCACCTGCTCGCGAGACCCCAACGGCCCCCAGCTCGAAGCGTCGCCTGGGCGGCCGGCTGGAGCCGGTCATGGCGCAGCTGTGTGGGCCCGGGCGCTGCTGGGCGCTCCTCGCGCTGCTGGCCTCGCTGCTCGTCTTCTGGGCTAACGCGGCCCACGGAGAGCGTGGCGTCCACGGTGAGGGACGCCAGCTGTGTGGTCCGGCCGGGTCTCCTGGGAGGGGTGGGGGGCCGAGGGGCCGAAGGCGGGGCCTTAGGGGCAAGGTCTGGGGCGCAAGGTCCTAGCGAGAGAACCTGCGGGGGAGGAAATTGGGGGCGACTGGGAGAAGCCCTGGGGAGGGGTGCGGGAGCCCGCCCTGGAAGCCTGAGCCTTGACGAGGCTTGGGAGCCCTTGGGAGTGAGGACGGGCGGAGGAGCCCGGGTTGGGAAAGTTTCCTGTGGGTGAGGGCGGGAACGAGGGCTGGTGACCGAGGAGGAGTGGCGGTGGCCCTTCCTGTGGCAGGAAGGGCTGAGAGGCCGGGCAGACCACCCTCTTCCTGGCAGCGGAAAGTTCCGTAGCCCAGGAAAGCCCGGAGAGGCCAGGCCTGAGAGGATGGGGGTTGGATTAGGGATCGGGTGACCTGGTGGCAGTTTTAGCCTCAGGGAAGAAGCCCCCACCCCCACTTCTTTGGGTATTGGACAGCAGCCCCCGGAGAAACCTTTAGGTTCGGTTGCAGTGGAGCGCCTCCAAGAAGAAAGGTGTTTCTCAGTGAGGTGCAAAGGAAGGAGAAGGAAAGCAGGTGTGCCAAAGGGCAAGGGTGGGCACCTTGTATCGGGAGAGTGTTGGCACTGAGCAACTGGGCTGGGATTCGTTGGACTGGTCCCTGGAGGTTGGTGGAGGATAAGCCGGGTTTAAACCTCTGCACTCTAGGGAAGTTTGGGCTGCAAGGCCTTTTTGAACAAGTGTTGTTATAAACTTAACAGCTTCAGACAAGCACAAGCGCGCTTTAAAAAGAACTCTCTTGAAAGAATTTATTGATTCAGCAGAACTTGCTGAGCTCCTGCTCTGTGTCGGGGATGGTGCTGGCACTGGTGCTAACAGCTGTGACTCAGACAGGCCAGGTCCCCGCACTTACAGAACATATGTTCTAGTGGGAGAGACAGACAGCGAGTAAACATTTACATCAGGAGCACTCACCACAATATCAAATTACTAAGAAGGAGATGAACAGGGCAGAGTACACAGAGAGACTGATATAAGGTGAGGGGGGCCACTTCAGCTCAGGTGATCAGGGTGAGTCTCTGAGAAGGGTGACATTTGGGCTCTACCATGAATGAGGAAGTGGCAGCCACACAAAGACCTCGGGGACAAGTGTCCAGTTGGAGGTAGTGGAGTACAAAGGCCTTGAGGCGGGAACAAGCGTGGTGGTGTTCAAGGAAAAGACAGCCAGCAGGGCTGGAGCAGGAGTGGGGGTGGGGGGTTGCAGGAGGATGGGAGGCTGGTGCCAGGTGACTTTATAGGCCAGCACTTTGGGTGGAAAGAGAGAAAGCAGGATGTGTATGCACCAAATCATTGCCTGTGGTGACTTCTGAAGACTGTTCATTTCCCGACGCCCGAGGCAAAGCAGAGAGGAAAAAATGAGTTAATCGGGACGTCAAGGGCCAGTGGGGAGAAGCTCAGCTCTGGGGGACCAGGAATTAGGAATGCAGGTGTTGGTCATTCTTGCAGTCTGAACTAGAGTTTGTCGGCCCTTCTGGGCTCTTTTAGATGAAATAATATGTTAGGAAGTACCTTCAGTTACCTGGCCTGGGGCTTGATCAGAACTGAGTTGGGGCTAACATCTGTTGCTTACTCTGAGCTCGTATGTGTTATGTATTCCTTGAGACAACCTGGGGCGGTGGTGAAGTCACAGGTCTGCTCTAAGGTCGCATGATAGTAATTGACGAAGCCAGGTTGGCCACAGAGGCCTCCCTTCCCAGTGGCCTCCCCGGCAGCTGGCTGCGCCTGCTGACCTTTCAGAAGTACTCCTGTCTGGCTGGGTGAACTAATGCCCTCACTTATCTGAAGTTGTTTGTTCGAAAGCTTTCAACAGCTTAATCTGAGGCAGGAGGTAGTTTTGATTTTTTTTCCCTCTCTTCTGATCACTTTGATTTTCTCAAGAAGGAAAGTCATCTGCAAAGTGTGAGGTGTTTCTCCCGCCACTTGCAGTTGCACAGGTCTTGCCACATGAGTAGAGTGGCGGGGGTAGGTGTGTAGTGAATGTGTGTAAGGGGTGATTATCATGGTTGAGCAAGGAATTTTTTTCCCATAATTTAATTTTTTTTATTTTTATTTATGTATTTTTTTGTGTGAGGAAGGTCATCCCTGAACTAACATCTGTCCCCGATCCTCCTCTTTTTACTGAGGAGGACTGGCCCTGGGCTAACATCCTTGCCCATCTTCCTCCACTTTATATGGAACGCTGCCACAGCATGGCTTGACAGGCGGTGCATTGGTGTGCACCCGGATCCAAACCTGCGAACCCCAGGCCGCTGCAGTGGAGCACGAGCACTTAACTGCTACGCCGTCGTGCTGGAATTTAATCTATGTGAAGACATGAAGGGGCTGAGGGTTGGTGGAAAGGTGGTAGGGCTAACGGATTGTTGGAGTTGAGGTTTTGAGGGAATGATCTAGAAAGACAGGATACGATGGGCAGTGAGTGATATGCATGGAACTGAGGTTCTGAAGAAGCTGCAGTTATTGAGACTAGGCCTAGGGATGACCATGGGAGGGAGGGGCTGGGGGGAGGACAAGCTCACTGGAGGAGAGAAGGTCTAGGAACCAGGAGGCCAAGATGGTCTGAGGATGTGGAAAGAATAGTGACAGGAGCAGCGAGAGCACTAGTGAGCCGGGAGCTAAAATTGTGGAGAAGTGAGGGGTAGGGCTCTGAGTCAGCAGATGACGCACGAGGGGGGTATGATCTACTCTGATGAAGAGATTCCTAGCTGGGGGGTTTTGAGAGGGCGGAGGGAGAATGGTCTGGAAGCACCACCGAGGAAAGGCACAGAAGAAGGCGTATCCTGGAGGGGAGAGCTGTTTCAGTTAGAGTAAGAAGATGACAGGAGTGTTCAGAGAAGACTTTGAGGAAATGAGATTTTACTTAAGATAGGTCATAAGTGCCAGAAGCCCCAGGAGATGGGGGAAGGGAGATGGAGACAAAACAGGATGTGTGGGGATGAGGGGTAACTCAGGAGTCTGGGCTTCTTGGCATGATAGGAGCATCAGGTGGTCTCAAGACTGACAGTGTTGGTAAGGTGCTGCATGATGGGGGGCAGATAGAGAAGGGTATGGGGCATAGTGGGCACCTGGAAGCTTGGCAAAGAGTGTCCTGATCCAGATCCTTTGAGGAGGTGGGGGACAGCTGATCTTGCTCTGGGGGTTTCTAGCATTCAGGGAGAGTGCCAGTCTTCTATCGAAAGCACCCAGAGATTATAAACCGGCCATTCCCAGGAGGCTTCAAACAGGCTTTATGTCACTACTGGGAATGTGTCCAGAACTGGGAATTTTTTATGGAAAAAATTGGTTTTTGGCTTTGTCTGAAAAATGTGAAGATCTGGTGGCACCAAGCCAGTGTTCCCACTTAGCAGTCATGAGCTGGTGCCGAGTGCTCCTGTTGGACAGGACATCCACTGCTCTCCCTCAGTCTGTTTCTTCACCTGGCCTGCCCTCTGTGTCTGTAAGCATTTGAGTTGTGACTTCCCCTACTTAAGAACATGCTCCATTTAGTAAAAGGAGGTAGGTAAAACATAACAGCGCTTTATGAATCGTCCAGTATGGTGAGTGTGTGTATGTGTGGCTTTGCTTTTAGGAAGGGAAAACCCCTTATCAGGTGGCCCCAAATGTGCATGATTTTTAATCTCTTCCCCAGATAATAAGTCCTGGTATTTGGAGGGCCCCAAAATATGTAATTTTGATCAATACAAGGGCAGATAATCCTCTTCAGAATAGAACCTTGCAAGTGCCTTTGGGGATCGGTCAGTTAATTGTAGTTCCTGCTGCCAATAACTATGCTGGCCGTGGGCATCAGAACTTGTGTTAATGGTTACTTGGCTCAGAGTCCTCTGTTGATTGTTCTTGGGAATTTCCACTGGAGACGAGTGTGGCAGCATTCATTTGAGTCCCCACTGCACTTTCAAGTAACCTTCAGTTTCCATTAACCTCTTGGCTTAATTGCAGTTTCCCTAGAACTTTCACTAAAAGAGTGAGCTTTCCAGCAAATCTCCAATAAGCATGTTATTAGTCCTGCTCTTTTCTCTTCTCCTCACTCCCCAGGATAGTTGTAAACTGGGTGGTCAAAGATCCATGACAGGTGAGAGCCGGGTGCAGCTGGTGTTGGTGGGATCTCCAAAGGAGCATCTCTGGGATTCCTGGCCTTCCCGGAAGAGGCACTTGTTCTGCTTGCAGGTATAGGGGAGGAAGACAGTTCTTCTACCCTCCAGGTCCTTCTGGCAGGTCTAGGAATTAAATTGATGTGAGACAGAATAACAGGAGAAAATCAAACAAAGTTTAATATCACGTATATATGGGAGAAACCCAGGAAAATGGCCAAAGCCGCCACCTTAAGTACCATCTTCAGCCAAGACAGAGGAGCGTGTTGGGGGTGGTGGTTTGGGATTTCATAGGGGAGGAAGACAATTTACATGGGGATGGAAATGCAAATGTTTGTTAAACAAGTTTTTTTTTTGCTGGGCTATCTATAGACAACTTGACCTGAGAGACAGAACTTTGATAAAAATCGGCCTGCTGGCGCCTTTCTATCACACCTAGTTTACATTATGCTATAGTTATCTTATGGTATTAGCTCCTTCCTGTAACAGGCCTTCTATTTTTTTTTTTTCTATTGTAACAGGCCTTCTATCTTAAATTTTTTTTTTTTTTTTTTAAAGATTTTATTTATTTATTTTTCCCCCAAAGCCCCAGTACATAGTTGTCTGTCATAGCTGCACATCCTTCTAGTTGCTGTATGTGGGACGCGGCCTCAGCATGGCTGGAGGAGCGGTGCCTCGGTGCACACCCGGGATCCGAACCCGGGCCGCCGGCAGCGGAGAGCACGCACTTAACCGCTAAGCCACGGGGCCGGCCCCATATCTTAAATTCTTTTAGGCAGTTAGAGGGAAGGTCCAAGTTTCTTTCAGAGTCTTTGTTCTTAAAAAATAATC